TATTATTATTATTATTATTATTATTACTTCTTATAGAACTTGAACTTTATATAGAGATTAAGATTTCTAAAAATATTATTAAATATAACTAGATATCAAAGTTAGAGAGATTAAATAAGAAAATATAAATAACTAAGCTAAATATATTATTTATAATATAATTAGAAAATTCTACTATAAATATACTTTATAATATTATAATTACTCTTTTATATTTAACTTTATTTAAAATACTTTCCTCTTTAATTTAAATTATTAAGCTATATTTTCTAAGAAGATATTCTATATTAACTACTAAAAATTTAATAACTAGGATTTATAGCTATTTAAGTACTAAAAATAGATTAATAATATTATTAAGAATAATAAGAAGAAAAATAAGTTATTATAAGTTAAGATTATTACTTTTATTATATTAAACCTTTTTAATTAATATATATTAATCTCTATAAACTATTATTATAAGTCTTAGTAGTTCTTTCTAATACTATTTAATATAAGTTCTATTTAAATAACTTTAATTAGAGTAATATTACTTTAAAACTCTATTAAGATATTTTTATAACTTAATATAACTTTATAAACTTTATATTAAAATAATAACTTTATTAAACTTATTCTTATTAAACTTAGTAACATTAATAAACTATTATATTAATAGAAGTAATAGAGTAATTTATTATTAATTAGTAAGTTAAAATAAAAGAAGACATAAGATATATATTAAATAATTTAAGCTTTTTATAAGTATAAATTAAAAGTTAAATATTGTAATGATTATAATAATATTACTAATAACTACTATATTAATTATCCTTTTACTTTATTAAGTTTATTTATTTATCTTTAGATCTATAAATAATATATTATAACTTAAGTAGAAGCTATAACTAATAGAGAAATAACTATTAATAAGTTTTTAGAGAATATTATTATTAATATAACTTTATATTATAATAACTACTTTTATAACAATAAATTTAAACTATAAAGTAAAGTTATACTAAACGTAAATAGTAATAAAAGTAATAAAAATAATACTAAGAAGTTTAATTTTTTATTTTCTTTTGCTTTTATATTATAAATTAAGTTAATATATTATTACTATTACTATTCTATAACTTTATATTACTAACTTATCCTTATTATAACTATTATATTTTTATTTAGTTATTATTATTAATATTATTACTAACAAGACTAGTTAAGCTTTTTTTATAATCTTTTTCTTAGAGAATTAATATTAATAAAAAAAAATTCTTATTACTAGTTTTATTAATAGAAATTTTAGTTTTAAGAGGATATTTTTATATTTGTATATTACTATTTTTAATAACTATATTAGTTATATAAAGTTTAAATTATTATTATCTTACTTTAGTATTATAAAATTATACTTATATTACGCTCTAAATAGTATTAGAAAACTTAAATTATATTAAAAAGCATATTAATTAAAATTAATAGCGTTGTTGTTAATAATAAAAAGTGGCGTAGAGGGGTAATAAATTGCATACTAATAGGGGTTTCAAGTAAGGCAAACGCAAATGAGTGCGATCTTTGAATAGAGCAATAATGCAAGCAGATGTGCCTGAGACTGCGTCTAACGTTTGATAACGTCAGCTGACGGTGTTGCTCCCTCCATCAGCTATGAAAGGCCCAAATTGGCACCACGGATGTCATCAGGGCGGGTTTGGTTTGCAGTGAAATCTCTCTACTCGGCCGCGTCGGTTACAGTTAGTTCGGAGGCTATGGTCGTGGCTGGTGCTGAGGTGGTGTCGCAAGCTTGAGGAGGTAGGAAGGCTCGGATTTCGCATCGCTCTTGTAGACTCGAGAACTACTGAAAACATCAAAATCTGGTCGGCACCTACTCGATTTGTTGCGGCAGTCGCCATCGCTCTGACCCGAATCAGGAAGGAATCGTCAATGGACGAGAGTGATCGCTGCTTTCCCTAATGACAACTGCGACAGTTCATTTACGATGGAAGGATGCATGTTCAAGGTGTTTGTAGGTTGGTGACTTTCGTTGGCACAAGAACACCAGAGAGTCGAGAGCCTCATTGTTACCCATTCCAATTGCTCAATCCAATTTATGCCAGTTCACAACCCTCAAAATACCACACCGGACGCCGAGGTGCAACCAACACAGAGGCCGCTTAAATTTCCTTGCGTCTGCGCGGCGACATTTACTGTTTACTCAATAGACTTGAAGTTTACTTCGATCGAGGACGATAGCAAACACCGTGAGCCAACGGCGACGGTGACAACGATAGCAATCACACAGGAAAAGCAGTCGCTCTAACACAACGGAAAATAGGGGGTTTCCCAATATGGGGCCCGTTGCAGCAGAAACGATGCTGGGAGCCATGGAATTCCTGGTAGCTACGAGCAAGACCTCGGGCTGTGACCCCTTCGCCCAGCTTGATGATACTTCGCGGCTTGCAAAGATTAAGGAGTCGGGCAAGGACAATCAGCCAAACGGCACCCAGCATGACCGGTAGAAAGTTGGAGGCAGTAAGACCTGGGTCCAGATATTTGTGACGGGCGTGAGAGAGGCAGGTCCAAGGAGGGCTGATCACCACAAGAGGGAACCGACTACGACATGTGTCTGCCACACTGAAAGCCAACGCTCTTGCTGTTGACTCTTCAGCCAGTCCAGCAGCTTGACAGACTTCCTCGACCAAGACCACACATCTTCAGTCCATCCGACTTCCATCACATTACATGTCCATCAACAAGAACTACCTCTTCTTTTGTTTCTTGGATCCAGCAGAGATTGACTTCTTCACATCATACCGGCAAACATTTCCAACACTATTCGAAATACAGATAACTTGACGATCAACATGCAGACACTCGCCAGCGACCTGGAGTACGTCCTCCTCAATAAACTCGTGCCCTTCGAAGTAGACGAGGTATGGAGCATCGACGAGCATACTTGATGACATGACTGACACATAGTAGGACGAGCTTCATGCACTCGTCGATGATATGGTCGCCCACGTAAATGAACTATTGGTAAGCAATCGGCTTCTACGTTCTTTCTCCGACCCCTTTGGTTATACTGTCGTCATCGTCGTTCGTCTACCTGGTCATTGCCCTTCGCAAAAGACAGGACTGGCCGAAGTTTCTCATCATTAGAGGGCTTCCACATGTTTCTCTGCACTGCAAGTCCATGCTCACCACCCCCTTCCCCTCGCTGTCATCACTCTCGTCTCTGTCGTCTCGCCCGACCCAGCTCTGTGTATACTGACTCCCGAATGCAGTCTTGTTGCAAGACAGGGTCTCAAGGCAAGGCGAAAGCCTACGTGGATCAATTCTGTGATGAAATAGCCAGTGATTGGGACATGTGTCTGGTGTCTGAAGAACCCACTGCGAGATTGTGGCAAGCTGTGATCGAATCGATCATCACTTGGCTTTCTGAAGACGTTGATCTCAATACGTATGACGATACCAACCGGAAATATCTCGGGAACAGCATCATCGTACTCGTGGGTATGGTGTATGCCGACGCTTCTTACTACCGTGCTGGACTTTCCACTTTCGAGACGGGGATAGCGCATGCCGACGATTCTACCTCCCGTGCTGGCCCTTCCACTTCCGAGGCGCCCGTACAAGATACCGCATCAAACACCTCAGACGATGCAGACGCATTATCTTCGACTCATTCTAACTCTTCTGGGGCTTATTCTGACAGCACCGAGGACAAAAAGGGCAAGTCGCGCCGTACCGCTGACTACAAGGGCAAGCCGCGTTGGCTTGAGAACGCCCATTATGACCAGAACGGCTCTGACAACGACAAAGAAAATGAGGGTCAGACTACTCCTCAGAAGCGCAAGGCTGACGAGGTCTTCAACACGAACGACGACAAGATCGTCGGTTCTCCACGCAAGAAACCTTGGGAGCAGGACAGCATCGCTGAAACTAGATTCCTCGGCACTGCGGACGAGCCTGGACCTGATAAGGAGGCTGGCGAAGAAATGGGCATGGACAAGGCAAAAAACTTTCCGTAGACTCAAACCGGTGACATACTTACTGAGAGAGGTCGTACAGTCACGCCCGCGGCAAACCAGCATGTCTGAGTGGGATCAGAACATGGACTTCAAGTACGAGAAGCCAGAGATGGACGACGAGGAACAGGATGATTTGAAGACAGGTAAGACGCAGCTCACAATGTAGAGAAAGACACAGGCACTGACAAGACCACGCAGACAGACGCGGAGCAAGAGCTCTATCAAGCACGGATGCTCAAATGACGAGGGACCCCTTTCGATTGCGAGTTCTGCGAGGTCAATCTCCCATGGAAAAGCCTGGCCGTGCAATGGAACCCGATGAAGCAGACTAGGATGGAGACGTCGAATCCTTCAACTCGAAATCAGATGCGCACTCCGACATGACGGACGATATTTTGAAAAGTATGTGACCCGATGCTGCCGAAAAGAGCACAACGAACAAGAACGGACAGAGTCGGGGGGAACAAGGGTCTTTACATGGTCGTCGCTACGGAATTTCTGAGGGTAATTCCCACGAACTCAGACGGCGGCATTACGAATAGTGTGTGTTTTTTTGGTGCCCGGAGTTTCTTTTGTTGCGGTCAGTCGGTTGGCGGGAGAAAAACATGATGTGATAGCATTGAGATTAGAATGGATTCGGGTCAACAACCTAATTATTCCCATATCGCGAGCTTTACTTGTGAAGATCTACAACGAGATTATGCAGTGGATCCGGCAACTCAACGGAATAAGGCATTGCAGCACTGGCAATTGGCACAGCCCGAGATGCTGGCTACATACTCAACGTGCAGAGCGAAAGGGAGGCGAGACGGGACTCAGTGTGGACGCGGACCATGTCGGAAGGACAGTCAGCAATTATCGGGGCAGCCCCTCATTGCATTAGCGGGACGAAGCCGACCAGGGTGGGCCGCGCCCTTCGCAAAATCGCTACCCCTCGAACGATTCTCGAAGTTCACCACGACAGCACCACAAGCTCAAACCGACACAATGCCTCGAGATCCGCTGATCGGCCTGGTTGGCAAGCCGTCGGCAGGCAAGAGCACAACGCTCAACAGTCTCACAGACGCCTCATCAAAAGTTGGTCCGTAGCCCTTACCAAAAGCCCGCTCGACCGAGAAAAACCGACCACCCCACCATGCGACCTGGCCGCTGATGGAATTTTGTGAACAGGAAACTTCCCGTACGAGCCCTGCTTCTCCTCTGTCTCTTTCAGCAAAACCTCTGCCGTTTTCATGCCGGTCGTTCATCACTCACCCGAACCTCCAGATTCACGACGATCGATCCCCAACGAGCCATCGGATACCTCCAAATAGACTGTGCCTGCGCCCGCCACAATGTTTCGGACCGCTGCAAGCCCAACTACGGCGCCTGTGTCGACGGCCGTCGCTCCGTGCCGATTGAGCTCCTCGATGTCGCGGGCCTCGTCCCCGGCGCCCACCAGGGCAAAGGCCTCGGCAACAAATTCCTCGACGACCTGCGCCACGCCGATGCGCTGATACACGTCGTCGACGCCTCAGGCACCGTGGATGCCGAGGGCAAGGAGACGCGCGGGTACGACCCGTCGGTGGACATTGCCTGGCTGCGCGGTGAGATCGTGGCCTGGATCAAGGGCAACCTGATGGAGAAGTGGGGGAGCATCAGACGGCGTCACATGGCGATCAAGGCGACGGCGATCGAGACGCTGCAGGGCCAGTTCTCGGGATACGGCAGCACGGCCAATGTGGTCGCGCGCGCGCTGGACCGGCTGGGGATCAAGGAGCCGCTCGAGGACTGGGACGAGTCGACGATCGACCGGGTGGTCAACGCCTTCACGGACGAGAAGTTCCCGACCGTCATCGCGCTCAACAAGATCGACCACCCGGACGCGGACAAGAACATCGCGAAGATTGCAAAGATGCAAGACCCCAACACAATCGTGCTGTGCTCGGCCATCTCGGAGATCTTCCTGCGCAAGATGGCGAAGCAGGGGTACATCAAGTACACGGAGGGCAGCGAGTTCATGGACACGCGCGAGGACCTGATCGAGCAGGGCGACCCGAACGGCGGCGGGCTCAAGGAACTGGACGAGAAGAACCGCAACCGGATAGAGAACCTCAAGGACATGGTGCTGTACCGGTTCGGGTCGACGGGAGTGGTGCAGGTGCTCAGCAAGGCGGCGGAGATCCTGGGGCTGGTGCCGGTGTTTCCCGTGCGTAACACGACGACGTTCCAGTCTGGCGCGAACGAGAGCAGGGTGGTGTTCAGGGACTGCGTGCTGGTCAAGAAGGGCACAACGGTGGGGGAGGCGGCGAGGAAGGTTATGGGGGATGCGCCGATTGCGTATATCGAGGGTGCTGGGGGCTTGAGGGTCGCTGAGGACGACCCTGTTGCGGTTGGGAAGAACGATGTAAGTGCTCCCCCATCAGCATGGGCTTCATGTTTCCATGGTCATGAGTTTGTCGCTAACGCCTCACAGATTCTGTCGTTCAAGGTCGGAAGGGGTTGAGTGCAATGCGCCTAAGCAATTCCACGCGCGGATGTCTGCCTCCGTTTACCTGCCAGCCAGCCGATAGTGATCAGAATCTCGCACCGCTCCCCGCTCCCCCTCCAGCTCCCTGATATCCGAAGATGTGGAACCATGGAGCACACCCCGTGACACTCACGTATACATGGTAGACATCACACACGTTCCGTGAGGAGAAAACCATCCCCGGAGCAAACGGGAGGGCGTTCATCGCAACGATTCAAATGAAGAAAATGTGACATGGAGTTGGCAGGCGGGTACGCCGGAACCCTTAGCCCAGCGAGGCGGGATGCAGGGGATCACCAGGCCCCCCCTTGGCGCGGGCAGGGGTATATGGGAAGGCCGAAATCGAAAGGGTCTGTGAGCGCTTTGGGGGCCAGCAGCGTGCCACTCGAAACAATTGTTTAAAAATAAAGGGCAGAAATACTATGCAGTATCTCGACCAGAAATGAAAAATGAAATAAGGCCGGGTAGGATATCAAAGCTCAGCTCCATACTCGCCGAGTCATTGCGGCTAAGGCGGTGGATCGTCGTTGTGTCTTCATTCTTGTTCCTCTCCTCGCATTCGCGCAAAGAACCTGGGAAGATGATGATCTATCTGGCTGGCGCTCATCGCACTCGGTCCGTTTTCCCAGCGCCCTCGAACAGGCCGCAGCTCGGCTCAACGGTCTGCGTGCAATTAAACACAGCCCTCGCGGACAGGGATCGCAGTTGATCTGATTCTGGCGGCCGACGGCAGTCAGTCAGTCAGTCAGTCCAGCGGCAGGGCGACGACGGACGACAGGCTTCAGGGCACATTCAATCTGCCTTAGCGCCTCGAGGCCCGGCAAGGCCAGCCTCAAAAGTGCAACGCTTTCGGCTTCGCGCCGAGTGTGTGCACAACTGCACCGCAAAAGGCAGTGTGGGACCGACGCTGCGCCGAGTATTTTGCGTGACGCGTCCCTCGGCTTCCGTTGGTTGATCCGTCGCGGTGAAGAGCAAACCGCTCCAGGGTCATTTGGAGGTTCTGGCGTCTCCATTATTGTGGCTGGGCTCCGTCGTTCAGGATACGCGGGAAACAAGGTTAACTTTTTGCGACCATGGTTGCCTTGGCATGGTTGGCTATGCAATAACTGCTTGAGCGTTTTTGTTGCAAGTGAAATAAGCTCTTGGACGGTGTTTCCGAAGCCTGTATGCTTAGGCGAGTTGGCGGGATCTAGAACGTTTCCGGGCGAGAGTTCAGCGTTTCAATGCAAATGAGGCATGACATCACTGTAGGGAGCTCCGGCAGTGTCACTGTCACTGCTGGCGGGGGGAGAATCACAACCGCTGTCATGCGGCACAGCCGGATTATGAAGCAACCAGATGCGGCTGCGTCTGACAACACATCACACATGCATAATGAGAAAATGAGTCTTTGCGAAAGAAGAAATCTTTGATTGAAGAGATTGATGTCGGGTATCGAATTAAGCATCAAGTGTACACAGTCCAAAGTCTCCCTGATCCAGTTCTTGCAGGCGTACCACAAGAAAATAAGAGCCGATGAAAACCAGTCCGTGATGAAAATAACCGCCTCCAACAAAGTAAAAGAGGCCGTTGCTGTGTCGTGGTCGTAAAATAACAAAAAGCGGTAGGGGGTCTTAGGCCACCCTGCACTGGCAAGCAGAATCCCTGCCGTCGGGTGCAGGAGGATCCCCCAAGGTTGCCGGATGAGACGGAAGCTGAGGTCGCTGGAATGCCCGGCCACCGCCTACACCACCACCCTCCTGTCAAACGATTGGGTCTCGCATGTCGAAGGGCTGAGATCATGCCGCTGTCGCTTGCTTGAAGTCGTCATAGCGCTCATTGATGTAGGTGGTTCGAGGTCGGGACGACCTCAGCGACGGGACGCTTAATACTTCAGGATAATGTACAGAGCGTGGATGATACCGGGCAAGTAACCTATGTATGTTAGTGAATGCTGCAAGTGATGGCGATAAGATTCGGAGCTTACCAAGGATGGTCAACAGGATGTTGATGAAGAAGTCAGCACCGCAGCCGCGCTCGAGGAAGACACCAACGGGCGGGAGGATGATGGCAAGAAGGATCTTGCAGATATCGGAAGCGGTGAAAGGCATGGTGATTGATGTGTTGTGGTGATGAAGTGTTTGTTTGTGTGAGTCTGATAGTTCGCGACGGGATCTCGAAGATCTAATGTAAGGTCGAGTGTAGGTTCGTTGGTTGAGAATGTCTAGAGGGGAAAGGAAGGGCGGGATGGGGACGAGATGCTTAAATAGAGGAGTGGTACTGGGCAATCCTCCAAGACTCAACGAGGAAAAAAAAAGAATGGCCCCAGCAAGTAAGGTAGGTAGGCGCAATGGACAAGGTCACGGTCACCAGTCGAGCTCACAGTGATGTGATGTGGACTTGCAGGGGCCGCCCCCTTCCCGCCATCAGTACATCTCTTCCTTACCTCACTGCGGACCTTACGTCTGACAAGGGACAAGCCAGTCGCAGGTGCTAGGCCATTGAGGTCCGGAAGCACCCAAGCACCAAGCATCACCCAAGCGCAAGCTCCCACTAAGCCGCAGCAGCTGTACTGTTCGTGCCGGGGAATAGGCTTGGGGTGAAATGAGAAGGGACATGCGTCATCGACTGATTCCCGGTTTGCTGCGGCAGGAATAAGGTGCGCCTGCGTAAGGCACACCGGGCCCCTACCTCGCTGACAGACACTCCGCACCTCCCCTCGGATAGCTTCTCGCTAGTTTTCTTGGGCATGGGATGGCTTTGCCGTGCGATGCGGACAAGCCACACCTTCACCCACTTTTTGGGCAATGACCCTGCTCTTCACGCCCTGTCTGGCCCTTGACGTTCTCCGGAAACTACAATCCGTGCGGAGCAGAACCGAAGCCTGAAGACAGTACAGCTGCATCTTTACGACGTATCAGCAAAGTCAGATATGGCACGGCTGTTCCTGCAAGACGGCGAACCACCGACTGCCTGCTGCCAGGTTTCTGCAATTACATCAAGATGCTTAAAGCTGATACCGGTTCGCGGCGCAGACTTCTCCCACATGATGCCCCCTTACAGAAATCCGACACTTGAATATTTTGCCATGGCATCGTCGTCGTTTCCGATCTATCCTTACCAGATCGAGCCTTCAATTGCGCGTCCCCCGCCCCAGCCAGTTCCCGCGACATCGCCGTCATTGGGAAGCAGCACCGTACCCAGGCACGGCCATTCCGGGGCTGGTCTTCAGGTAATGGGTGCACAGGTGCGCGCTGGGCTGCAACTGGCTTGCTTGTTTTCTCGCGTAAAGGTAGCCAGTGTACATCGGAATCTAATGGACGAGAAGCTGCGCGAACTCTTTTTCGGGGCGGGTAGGTGGATGCTACGTCATCAGCCGAGCCTGCTAGCGCCGCCGGTGGGGTCCGCCTTCTTAATTTTGCTTCTTTGGCTCATCGGTCCACACGCTCTCGACCAGTAGGAGGCGCTAGAGACAGTCACGACAGCAGGGAAGGGGCACTAGCAACATGCAGGCGATGAGCCACAGCGCCACACCAGGAAAGCTGATCAGTGTCGCAAGAGTGACGGCACAGCCACATAGCCACAGATGAGCATCGAGGATCTGCCTGTCAGTTTGCTCGAGCTGGCGCAAGGTTCATGCCAATTGTTTCTCCAGCGGACATCGGTCCGTCCGCGCATGCTGCGGAGAAGACATGCAAATGATTTGGCAGTGAAGAGTCACCAAGTCACTTTGGTCAATGTCCGCTCTCCCAAATCCCCACCGCCTTGTTGGTGTCTTTTCCTCTTGCGCGGCGCGCCGTTCACCTTGTTCTTGTCTCCTCGTCCCATCAAAAACTTGCCAGAGCTGTCTCACCAATGAAACCCCAAGCTGCCCCGTGACTTATGACGCAAGGGGCCCGGTCATGCCCGGCGGCAAAGGGGAGGAGCCAAGTCGGCTCGGCAGCTGGCAGGGCTGGGACGGAGACGCGGCCTGTACCCGCTTTTGTGACGGGGGACGCAGACGGCGAAAAAAAACGTCGCTAGAAGTCGGACTCCAACGCCTATTTCGTCGACTCTGTAGGGCTGGACTCTTCCATGAGGCAAGCTTGCAATGCTACATGTGGCTGGGGTGAAGTGTGCCACGGCGGATATGATGTAGGTATTTCACTGCACGGCATTGACTGCGACATCGCCGAGGCTCATGGCGGCAAATATTTGCAACATCACGTCTCTTTCCTAGCGGTCTATCGCATTGGTTATGTCGGAACTTTGTTTGGTTTATTTTTTTGAGGCCACTCTTGGCTGTTGCCAATTGGCACTAGGTATTATACATCGATTACTTTGCGGAAGGCCAAGTTGCTGCTAAACAAGAGCTAGCGTTGGTGAAGCCGCTGTTGCCACGCACGCTTGAACTACCGCCTCTTCAGGTTCAGGTTTAGGTCTAGGCCTAGCCATGATACACCTCACCCGGAGGCATTCTTGTGTGAGACGTGACGAATAGTGGGATTGTCGACGAGTCAGACAGTCGGCGGAACTGTTGTCGCTGACTTGCAGCACGCTGCCAATTCAGATTGTTGACCGCCTCAGCATGCTCACTCGTCGTCGCTCGCAGAACCTGCCATCCTCTTGCCAAACGCCAATGTGCCGCCAATGGTCTTGCCCAGGACGTAGCCGCCGTAGAGGCCACACAGAATCGTAACGGGCCACTTCTGCCAGTCACGGTCCCAGTCCAGGGGGATTGGCACCGCGCCGAGCCATGCGCCCAGCAGACCTCCGATCAGACCGCCGTATGCCTCGTCCAGCGGCGCAGCCGCGCTGGCGATGGACGCCCATGTGCTGGCCTCGACACCGTGGACGTAGAAGAGAGGGAAGAGTGAGAGGAGGGAGACGTTGGCGGAGCAGAGGAGGGTGTGCGGAACGTGTGTGAGGAAGGGAGCGCCGAAGAGAACGAGCACGATGTGCAGGGCGGGCGTGATCAGAGCGGCGAGGAGGACGGAGAGGAAGATAGCCTAGCATAG